AAGAATGATGGAAAAAAACGAAGGATAAAATTAAAATCAAGAACGAAAGGAATAAAAGAAAGATGGATTAAAGAAAAGTAGAAATAAAATAAACGAAGAAAGAGACAAAGAAAATAAAAAAATTAAAAAGAAAGAAATTGAAAAGAAAGAAATAATGAAATACAAAGAAAGAAAAATAAAGGAGAAAATAAAATAAAAGAAATAGAGAAATTAAATAAGTATAAATGAAAAAAGCAAAGAAAAGAAAGAAGGAAATAAAATAATGAATGAGAAAAAGAAAGGAAATACAATAATGGAGTAAAGAAGGAGAATAAAAAAGAAAGAAAGAAAGAAAGAAAAATTATTAAAGAAGGAAGGAAAATAAATAAATAACGAAAGAAAGAAGGATGAAAAATAAAGAAAGAAAGAAAGAAAGAAAGAAAAATTACAAAAGAAGGAAGGAAAATAAATAAATAACGAAAGAAAGAAGGATGAAAAATAAAGAAAGAAAGAAAGAAAGAAAAATTAAAAAAGAAGGAAGGAAAATAAATAAATAACGAAAGAAAGAAGGATGAAAAATAAAAGAAAGAAAAAAAAAGAAAGAAAAATTAAAAAAGAAGGAAGGAAAATAAATAAATAACGAAAGAAAGAAGGATGAAAAATAAAGAAAGAAAGAAAGAAAGAAAAATTAAAAAAGAAGGAAGGAAAATAAATAAATAACGAAAGAAAGAAGGATGAAAAATAAAGAAAGAAAGAAAGAAAGAAAAATTAAAAAAGAAGGAAGGAAAATAAATAAATAACGAAAGAAAGAAGGATGAAAAATAAAGAAAGAAAGAAAAGGAAGAAAAGAAGAAAAGAAACATAAAGAAAGAAATATAAAAGAAGAAAAGTAAGAAAAATAAAGGAGAAATGAATAAAAAGAAAGAGAGAAGTTAAATAAGAATAAATAAAGCAATCAAAAAAACAATAAAATAAAACAATGAAAGAGGAAAAGAAAGAAGATACAATAAAGAAAGAAAAACGGAATAAAAATAGGAATGGAAAGAATGAATAACGAAAGAAAGAAACAAAGAGAAAATTGTCAAGAATGATGGAAAAAAGTAGAAAAAAAGAAGGTAGAAGTAGAAATGGAAAGAAAGAAAAGAAAAGAAAAGAAAAGAAAAGAAAAGAAAAAGGGAAATAGTAAGAAATAAAGAAGTTAAATAAGGAGTGAGAGAGGGGGAGAGACAGATCGAAAATAATGCAAAAATTAAGAAAAACAAATATAAAAAATGAAAATAAACAACAAAAGGAGGATAGCAAAAATATATAAAGAAAGAAGTAAGTAATGAGAGAGAGGGAGAATTGTACAAACCTTAATGAGAAATAGTCTCTCGTCACCATAATTGAAATTTATCACACTTTCTGGATTATGGCTGTAAGTGTTGGAAATAAGTTTGGGAAAATTCTTGATCAAATGGAATCGGCCGGCTGAATCGAGACTGTAGGCCCAAACATTCTGATCTAGATAAATAAATAAATAAATAATAATAATAATAATAATAAGAAGAAGAAGAAGAAGAAGAAGAAGAAGAAGAAGAAGGGCTTCTCCCTGAGGGGCCACCAATTATTCTCATTAATCTGATCGGCCATCAGCTCTTTCTATATCAGCTAGAGAAGAGCAAATATTTCAAGAAATCAAATCTCTGACTTGGTCATATGGGACAAATCGGATTAATCTTTACAGCATACTTACAGCTAAACAAATAAGCTTTTTGGACCTGTTCAGAATATACAGCGGCTTGTACCATATTAGGGCCATCTGGAAAGAGGCTGGAAATTTCCATTTTATGTCCGCTTCGACCGTCGATGACATAGCGGTAGTCAACAAAAACAAAGTCGTTTTCAGAAACTAAAAAGAGAAAAGAAATAAAAAGATATTTTAAAAATAGGATTTTAAAAGAAACATTTGACAAAATGTTCTGAAAGTTTTAAGGAAAATAAGAACGGAATGGACTCTCGTGTTTCGGATCAGGAAGAGAGAGTTGAACTTTCTGGGACCCATTGTGAGGACAAAGGTCTTGGAGAATTTGATATTCATTCATATAACGGCATAACGAGTTTGTAACCATTTTCTATGGAAATAGCGACAGAATGGTAATCGGCTTGCAGTATTTCGACTCTGGGGAAAGTGGTTGTAGGGTGGAAAATAACGTCTCGTTCACAAGGCTTTTCAAACTCCTTTGAATTCTGTCATCGTTTGAAAAAGAGAATTGGGCGGCACCAGCCCAGATATGGCCGCAATATTCCATTTTGGATCTGATTGTGAGTCATACTTACATTCAGACGGAAACAGTTGAAATTTCTGGGATACATAACGAGGAAAAGGACTTGGAGAAACTGACACTCAAAGGACATATTGAAGAAAAGAGAGGTAATGGGAAACAGAGGGTATCCTACCTAACGAGCTTGTGTAAACGAATGACAGAACAGGAACTGGGGCTGATACAAAGGAGACAAATATTGCTTAGATCTACTAAATGTAGGAGGTTGTGGAGAGTCATGATCACTCTCATAAAAGAAAGAAATGTTCTGAAATCAAGCTTCTTATTTTTTTTTATTTATGGTTCTTAAAAATAGCATTTGTAAAAGGACCAGAGACTGACCTTATCATTCGCTTACTGCGGCCTTGTGCCAGACTATACTAAATTTACTAAATATATATAGCACTTGTCTTAGAGCAGATGTCAGCAAACTCATTAAACAATGACGAGTAAATATCTACTTCGGGCGCCTGTTGTAGAGTAGTGATCAGTAAGCTTACTATTGCTCCACTGGCGAGTTCAATCTTCATTGGGTGCCCAGTTGTTGCTTTCAAAACAACAAAGCTGAAATCATATATGAGATGAATGTCGGACATGCTCGTAGTGTAGCAGTTATCGAGAAGTGCGATCGACTTGCCGAAATTTTGCCACAAACATCCTTGGCTAGGAATCCATTTCTTCTCCGCCCCAGATTCTTAACTTTCTCAGTGAGTTAAATATCAGGGCGGACTGGGCTCCTTAGCCTTGTTTGGTAACCAGTCTAGAAGAACAATAACTCTGAATTTCAAAACCGGTTGGACATAAGGCTAATATCCTCATGTCAGTGAAACCACAGCAGTAACATAAAGCTTTCGAAGGCTATGGTCGTGTGGCCGGCCATGGGTCTCCAAAATACCTGGAAACATCAAATGATCCTATATTTTTTACTGCAGTTGTGATGTAAAGGAAATCCCCCATTCCTCCCCTCTCTCTCTCTCTCTCTCTCTCTCTCTCTCTCTCTCTGAATCTCGAGACGGCCTACGCACCCTAAAAAATCTTCACAGGCTGATAGAAGAAAAAGAAGAAGAACAAGAAGAAGAATCTCCGACCATCAGCAGGCGACACATTATGGACAGTATAACCAAACCAGTCAATTAGGAATCAAAAAGATGCAGTCAGATAATGAATCTGGAAAAGCCTACGTCCAACAAAGGACCTTCACGGGCTGATAGAAGAAGAAGAAGAAGAAGAAGAAGAAGAAGAAGAAGAAGAAGAAGAAGAAGAAGAAGAATCTCCGACCATCAGCAGGTGATTCATCGTGAACTATACACGGTTTCACCCGAGTTGACTTACTTCTCATGGCTGCATCAATGCTTGCGTAGGGATGATTACAAAATCCTTTGCCTCCTGTTGGTCTGCTTATAACTGTTCTGCGTGTTGTTGAAGTCCGTCTTGGTGTGGTCGTTCTGGGTGTGGTCCTTGTAGGGGTGGTGCTTCTGGCGGTACTGGTGGTTAACTTTGTTGATTTCTTGCCTGTAAGTGCAACATAAAGCAAAAGGTACATTTAGAAGTGAAAACATTCTCTCGGTTTGCAGTAACTCGAACGCGAAAATATCATTATTTATGGGTGTTTTTCCGTCTTTATAAATATGTCCGTATTGAGCTGTAGTCTGGGAGATATAGCGTCAGTCGCCTTGACAGGCTACTAGTAGTCTGTTCAACATAATTATGTACGATTTGTTTATATGTCGGTCTGGTATAGTTTTGATTTCGCCAGTGAGATGTTACACATCCAACAATATCCACTGATACTTCAACGCTTGGGTTCGAAAAACCAAGCCGACAAATAATTTGAATTTGAACGCTGATTTGTAGGCGTGAAAGAACCAATATTTGTCAGGAGAATAATATTGAATTTTTAGGCACTATTTGTTGTGTTTTAGTATTTTGTGGGTTTACACATGTACTGAACACACAACTGGAAATAGATCTAATGCTCTTGCAGATGTTATATTTTGAATTTTATGCTGTTTGAAGATGTTGTGTTATGGCAGTAAAGTTCTTCATTAAAAAACCTACAGACATAACGAGTGATTATCACCAGATGAGTGTAGAATGAGACACTCCCCAATAAAAAATAAAATACAATCCACTTACCGTAAAGTCTCTGAATTCCTGCAATATCGTCCCAGTGAAGTTTAAAGTTATCGGGAAATACTTGATATTCACTTAACATTAGTGCTCCATGAATTTTTGAGTGCTTAAGCCCGAGGGCGTGGCCAAATTCATGAGCAGCGACTGTCTCCAAATCAATTCCCCCCGATTTTCCATTGATCCAGATTTCGTCGTCATCAAAATGGATGAAACCACCTTGAGGATAGGCGGCATGGGCTAAAATTCGTCCTGAAAAATCCCGAGAGTCAAGGTCACAAAAAAAAATAAAAATAAAATTTAGGGAAAAAAATATTGTGAAGAGAAGGAAGTCAAAGTAAAAAAGAGCGGGGAGAATATACAGGAGAAAGAAAAGGGAAAAAGTTAATGAAAGAAAGAGGAAGAGTATAAAGGAAGGAGACGATAGAAAGAAGAACGATATGACACATAGGAAGAAGAGGAGGATGCGGAGAAAGGAAAAGGGTGATAGAAAGAAGAAGAAATATTGAGAGCGGAGGATGGTAGAGAGAAATATGAGAGAGGAGGAGACGAAAAACGAGAAAGAAATAAGTTGTTGAAAAAACGAAATCAAACACAGAAAGAAAGAAAGAAAGAAAGAAAGAAAGAAAGAAAGAAAGAAAGAAAGAAAGAAAGAAAGAAAGAAAAAGAGAGGAAAAGCAAGAGTATAAAGGAAGGAGGCGATAGAAAAGAAAGATATGAGAAAGAGGAAGAGGCGGAGGATGCGGAGAAAAGAAAAGGGTGATAGAAAGAAGAGTAGGAGGAGGAGAGCAGAGAGAAATATGAGAGAGGGGGAGACAACAAAGAAAACGAGAAATACGTTAGTGACAAAACGAAATCAAAGTAAAGAAAGAAAGAAAGAAAGAAAGAAAGAAAGAAAGAAAAAAGAAAGGAAACGATAGGAAGAAGAAGGATATGACACATAGGAAGAAGAGGAGGTTGCAGAGAAAAGAAAAGAGTGATAGAAAGAAGAGGAGGAGGGTAGAACGAAATATGAGAGTAGGGAGAAGAGAAAGAAAACGAGAAAGAAATAAGTTGTTGAAAAAACGAAATCAAAGAAAGAAAGAAAGAAAGAAAGAAAGAAAGAAAGAAAGAAGAGGGGGAAAGCAAGAGTATAAAGGAAGGAGGCGGTAGAAAGAAGAACAATATGACACATAGGAGACGAGGGGGGAGGATGCGGAGAAAGGAAAAGGGTGATAGAAAGAGGAGGAGGAGGGTAGAGAGAAATACGAGAGAGGGAGAAACTACAAAGAAAACAAGAAAGAAATAAGTTGTTGAGGAAACGAAAATCAAAGTGAAAAACAAGAAAGTAAGAAAAAAGAAAGAAAGAAAGAAGAGAGAAAGAGCAAGAGAATAAAGTAAAGGGCGATAGAAAGAAGAATGAGACAAGGAAGGAGAGAAGAAAAGGGTTTTAGAAAGAAGAATAAATATTGAGAGAGAGAGAGAGAAAGAGGAGTACAGAGAGTAATATGACAGAGAAGGAGAATAGATAGACAAGAAAGAAAGAAACAAAGAAGACAGCAAAAGCCATTCTCTGAACTTACCCCTCCCTTTAAAATTTTCGTCACCGTGGTTCAATCTCTCGAATGAAATATTAATATCGGCTTTTCCGCTTGTCTCCCGTAAAACCAGTGGAGTGACACGTGACCACCTTTCAAGGCCGCGCTTTATAGCATGACTGAAATAGAAGAAAATAATAACTATTTACTTTTTTAAATTTTATCTAAATTTATAAGTCCACCAAATCCCTCATCTGAAATTTACCCTTCGTCGTGATGGACATTTTCCTTTCATCTGGTTCCAACCGTTGAGTAATTAGAAAAAGGTATAAGCCGGAACTTTAAAACCATTTTTATGACTTCTTGTCTATTCAAACTGAATAATCATAATCCAGTATTTCAAATTGACAAAATTTAGATTTAAAATTTGATGACATTGCCGTCAGCGAAACGACAGCGACCGGAGGAAAAATATTAGAGAAAATACTTATATTTACTTACTATTGTTCGGTAGGAGAGAGTCTTGAAGTTCTACTGTATTTGTTAATCTTCCAAGTGATTACATTTTTCGGCCATTTTGAATCTAAAACAAATAAAGAACAAGATATTCAGTCACTGTAACGTAGCAACCCCCCAAAAGAAAGAAGGATAAAAGCGGTATCTATGGTTTAAAATACATTTTAAAATTTAATAATCTTTCACGAAGATTTTTAGTTTTAATTCCAACATAATAAATTAAATTTAGTATTCCAATATGCAAAACATATTGCTGCATTTCAAACGAAATTTAAATTGATTGGAATTATTTTTTGCATGAAATCGCTAACATCAGACTTATTGACAAGAGAGCGAACAGAATCCTTAAAAAATAAAATATACATTCCTTGAAACTTTACAGAGGGTTACAGGGAGTGAAAGTGAAAGAGAAGACTGAGAATAGCGAGGATTGAGGAAAGGACAAGAAGACAGAAGATGGCGATTGATGTTGCATTTAAATTTTTGAAGATTCTAGTTATCAGGGAAGCAAGTAAACGGAAGGGAGTTTCACTGGCTGGAAGTGCGAGAAAAGAACCTGTTGGAGTAGAAGTGGTGGTTGCATTTTACTATTTCAACAGTAAAAGAGTGGGACCTAAATGCCAATCTAGTAGCACGCTTAAATTCATGTATTCGGGGCATCGGGGGTGGGGAGATTATCAGCGCAATTGCCATGACTTTTATTTTAAAATATCTTATATCTTTTTAACACGGATCTTTTATTTTTTGTTTTATTTTTTGTTTTTTATTTGTTTTTTGGGGTTTTTTTTGCATATTCATAAAAGCAATTAAAAGCCTTTCTAATTAAATAACTTCTTAAGTTAAGAGTAGATTTTGCGTAATTTCGGGTTTGTTTGACAAAACATTTAATGATTTTAATTCTCCATGGACTTGTTCTTATAACTAATATAAACACTACTATGCCAAAATAATTTAAATAAATGTGAAGAGATATAAAAGAATATTTTTACAAGGATTTTCTACAAAGAAATGCTTAAAAATAATTTAATTCATTTGTAAATAAGTCCTGGAATTTTCATTAACAGCCAACGATTATCTGATTTTTGCAATAATTTCAAAATTGATTAGTTTTTAACCGCAAAAAAAGCTTAAATTGGAATTTATGATTTCCCGCTGAACATAAATTTCTCCTTCTCTGACACGAACCAAATTTTTAGGCAAAATTTCGAAGGTTCTAAAAAGGATTTAAAAGGATTTACACGGAGTCTGTAGGGAGCCGCCATCTTGCATATTAAAGTCCGGAATAAAAAGGTAGGTTTGAATAAAAGCAGGGCCTGGCAATCTCTTATTGTCTAGGTAATGAATCAATTAGACATTATGGAAATGAATAGCTATTCATGCAGAAAGTTCGTTATATATATAAAGCGAATTTTAAATAGTTATAAAGTATCACTTCTTTAGTCTGGTTCAAGGTCGCGCTAGTTGAGCTACCAGTGGCAACCATGTTTCCGACACTCGGTAGCCAATACTTGTACTAGAAGTGGCGCACAATTAAACTCAGAAGATTAAATGTCTTATTTACGTAGGCTGTATTCTGCAACTCCATTGTCGATGTCTTTCATCCCACATCTTGGTTCCTTCATTTTTTTCTCTGTTTCTGGGTCGATTCTTCCACTTTCTGGCAATCCTTTAAACTTCTGATATTTTCTGTCAACAGAAAAATAAGTAAAGAAATTTCTTATATGAAGGGATAACTCATTTCTTTTTTTAATCAACGTTTTGTCTTCTTTTAGCAATGTATTCAGGAATTTTAAAATTTGTTAGAAAATATTCAGAAATTATTTAAAGCTTTAGCACAATTTTAACAATAATAGTACTTACCCGATTGTCCGGATACTTTGGAACAGGAAGTGAAAAATAGAATATGTACGAATAATTAAAAATTCCGGATAACTGAATACGTTAATTATCGAAAAAAATGACGTTTTCATTTTCTGAAAGAAATTTATCATATACATCGTAAAATAACATTTTCAAACGCTTTGTCCAGTTAATTTCTAACGAAAAAAAATGGCTTCAATGTTTCTCTTTATCCGGCTGGCCTCGCGTTCTTCTGTCGCTAAACTCGATCGAAGTGGATACATTTGTAAGGATAACTTCCGGTTGAAATATCAACCGACTTAAACAGTTCTCAATTTATATTCAATACTTCGGCGTTTGAAATTGTAAGTTTCAAAACCTGAGAATGGTTTACTAAATTCTCAAATAGCTTCTTCGACGATTTGAATCCCGGAAAATCGATTACTGAGGGTGAACTTCGGATATTCGGCATACATATAATCGTGGAAGTACTATTTAATGTTCTAATCGGACTGCTGATTTCAATTCGTCTCATCATTTCAAATCCGGATAATTGAATTCCGGAAAATCGAAGTACTGATTACGATGTCCGGATAATCGAGATATGTATAATCAAGGAAGTACTGCATGACGCTCTAATCTGACTGATCATTTCAATTCTTATCTTCATTTCATGTCCGGTTAAACAAATTCCAGAAAATCGAACTACTGATTACGATGTCCGGATAATCGAGATATGTATAATCAAGGAAGTACTGCATGACGCTCTAATCTGACTGATCATTTCAATTCTTATCTTCATTTCATGTCCGGTTAAAGAAATTCCAGAAAATTGAAGTATTGATTACGATGTCCGGATAATCGAGATATGTATAATCGAGGAAATACTTATGACGCTATAATCGGACTGATCATTTCAATTCTTCTCTTCATTTCAATTCTGGTTAATCGAATTTGGAAAAAATCGAAGTACTGATTATGATGTCCGGATAATCGAGATCGATGTATGTGGCCTGATGATTATTTCGATTATCCGTACACTGGTTTCCGTGTTCAATTAACCGTGCTTGAAATGAACTGTAATACTCCGAGTATTTTCCAATTATCCGAACGAAACCCATTTTAATATTTCAATTTCTCGGACTAGCGTTTCGAGAATTAGGAAAAAACCTATTCAACCTCCAAAATTTCAGTTTGAAACACCGAAGTAATGATTAGGATTTAACAAAATTTGGTTGCGTTTTCGACCATAAGCTACCTTTACAAATATATCTGCTTTACTCCAACATCGGAAGTTAGCGATAGAAAAATGCGGAACCATCCTGAAAGAGTAAAAAATTGACGCATTATTCATCTAAAAGGAACTGGTCAAAGCGTTTGAAAATGTTATATATAAATGTTAGATTCTCTTGCAGACGACTGCTATGCCGTGTGACAAACTGTGGCATCACCCGACGCTTAATAGCGAAGAAAAGATTACTGTCGGCCCAATAAGACATTTAAGTTTGCAGTAATAGACAGTGAACGGCGAAATTATTCGTACACCACCAATTTTGAGTATTTTTATCCATTTCTCAGAATTTAATGTCCGTTTGATGCCAGGTTTTGTATATCATAATAAGGACAAGAAAAGGAATATAAAACTCAATTTTCAGGACAGTAGGTGAAATACAACAAATTTGACAAGCGAATTATGCAAAACAGGAAAAGACAAAATTAATCGTACAGCAGAAAATATCGTTTTAAATTGATTGATTTGCGAAAGTATAAGTAATTTACAAAATTATTTTATCGGTGAATCTTTCTGGACTTCAGTAGAATATTAGTGATAATTCCAGCAGAAAAAATCACGTGGTGTATATAGTGTCACTATTGTTAATCTTAGTAATATCAGTTAAAGCTAACTAAATTGGTAGCCAGGGAAACTGATAGACAATAAATAAACACAATTAATTGATATTCCCGATGGACAAAACGAGGGAAAAGAAATCAATAAGAATTTGCAATATTAGATGAAGCGCGACATCTTTTTTTGGGGTGGGAGCGGGGGGGGACATTTTGCCCTTCATTATGGTTGCCAATCTCTTATGTAGATGAGTTCTGACCTACGTCGAAAATTAGGTTACGTCGCGCCGTAGGAACGGATCTTCGACGTAAGTCGAGGACCTCCAATATTTTCAAATATTTACCCAGTAAGGTTTTATGTCCTTATTCCGAAAATTGTGGCTTACGGCTATATAACGTTAAAACATTGGTTCCTATACGACAAGTTGCTGTAAGCCTGGATGTGCGGGTGGTGTAATGGAAAATGACACGGAATTGTTAATCGTAGAGCGGAGTTCCAATTCCGATTGTGTTCATTATATTCACTTACGCGAAAATACCATTGAGGAAAGTAGCAATCCATCTCTTCACTCTCCAGCTAGAGGTTAATTAGTATAACAAAATCATTATTATCAAAAAGGATTATTACAACCTAAAAATAGCTTCTGGCTTTAAATAACCTGCAAAGGGTGGATAAACCGATGAAAACAAACCAAGCACTCGGATACAAAGATCATTTGAACAATTTTTACACAGAATAGAAAATACGAAAACAACAAAAATTGAATAAAAAGCTTAATTATTTTATATATATACATATATGTGTGTGTATTTATTTATATATATATAAGTGATGGTGCTGAAGATATATATATATATATATATATATATATATATATATATATTAAACATAGTATGCATCGGCAGTAAACTTTCGTCCATATATGTTATATTAAGTAAAATGGAACGGGTAAGCCAGAAAAGAGTTCTGATATCGAAGAAATTATTTATCTTGGATAGATACTTGCAAAACTTCGATGAAATGACTTTTTACACACTTTATGTTCAGAAAAGAAAACACTCATACAAACACAACAAAAATTGAATAAAAAGTTTAATTATTTAATATATATATATATGTGTGTGTGTGTGTGTATGTATGTGTGTATTTATTTATATATATATAAATGTGTGCGTATGTGTATTTATTTATATATATAAAACATAGTATAAATCGCTAATAAACTCGTTCATATGAAATGACTAAACATTATTTTATATTAAATATATTATATTTTATATCAAGCTTTCTGATTGTGTTTATATATATATATATATGTGTGTGTGTGTGTGTGTGCGTGTGTGTGTATGTGTGTGTGTGTGTGTGCGTGTGTATATTGTCATTCGTATACAGGCCTGTTTCGCTGTATCACAGCTCATCAGTGCAACTAGACAACGGAATGCTTCAAGCCAGACTCAAAACTTGACCAATTTGGTGTTTTTACCCCTAAGCCATTGGCGCTTCGGAAGAGAAAAAAATGAATATTCATTCTTTCTCTCTCCTCTCCCTCCCCTCCTCCCTCTCCTCCCTCTCTCCCTCTCTCTCTCTCTCTCTCTATCTATATATATATATATATATATATATATATATAGAGAGAGAGAGAGAGAGAGAGAGAGTGGGGGCGAAGAGGGTCAAATAACTTTCATTCATCATAGTGTTGAGCCTATCATTTAAAGTTCGAATAACTGACGATGGTCGGGTTTTAAAAGAAAAAAAAAAACTACTTACAAAATAGCGTTCTGTATTTCCTCGGGGGTCGGATTCTCAGCTCTGTTAGCCCCGGTCTTTTCTTTCAAATAACCATATTGGAGTAGAAATTCCTGTCAATGAAAGGAAATCGAAATTAGAATAGAGAAATAAAGGCTGATAGCGAGAGACGTCGGCATTTCAATCCGAAGTTGAGGTTTCAAATTCCGATAGTAACTATACAACTCTTACTCTGTTGTCCTCTACATCTAGTGGCTCTTGGGACTTTTACAGGATGGACATTCTTGTTGAAAAAATAGGCTAAGAATGAATGACAGTCAGCACAGCATCCTAAACGTTGTGATAGTATCAACAATGGTGCTGACATTCGTCCGATTGTAAATAAATAAGAAAAGTTGTCAGGAGACCCCTTTTTCACTTGGAATACAACACCCCCTCCTCATTGGCGCCTGTGGGAGACAAGCAACTGCCTGGGCCCAGAAATATACGGAGGAATAAATAATTCTAAGATTAAAGACCACCATCTTGAACATTTCAAGATCTACAATTCTTCCGTTCATTGAATATTGCTGCCACATCGGTTAAGGTGTTCCTGTCATATATCTGAATATTCTTGACAATTACCAAAGAAAGATCTGTGATGTAATTGATACTGACCTGGCATCTTCCCTTCAGTCACTTTCTCACTGACGTAAAGTGGCTTCCCTCTGTAACTTTTTTACAAATACTTTCCTGGCGTCTATTTTGATGGTCTTTGTTTCCCTGGTTCTCGACTGAGTGAATTTAAGCAAGATACTCGATTGGCAACTAGGTCTCACCGTTTGACTCTTGAACTAGTTAGATGCCATTTCTTTGCCCGCACTTCTCACCTGTGGAAATCCGTTGCGATTTCTTGCTTCTGTGCCACTTAATTTCTTCAAAACATTAAATGCAACGTCAATCGCCATCTTCTGTCTTCCTGGACCCTGTCCCTTTTTTTGCCTGTTTCTGATTTCTCCCCAGTTAAAGTCTTCTTTCACTCCCTGTAAACCGCTGCGCCCTTGGGGTGAAATGGTTAAAAAAAAAAAAGAAGAAAAATGTGATCTCTACTCACCTCTGGTTTCACTTGAGCGAAGACAGAACTTGTGAAAATAGCAGTGAGGGTCAAAAAACAAAAGAAAACGTTTTTCATTTTCGTCTTTTGGAGACTAATGAGGTTGAAGTTCGTAAGCAACTTAATAATAAGTTACCGAATAAGTCTGACTGAGGCGTGTATTTGGCAAACTGTGGGCGACTCTTAGCTCCTTCTTAAATTTGTGTTCTTGTTTTACTGCCCTCTCTTATTGCCTTCGACAAAATTCTTAAATAAATTATAAATATTATGTATTAAATAAATAAATAAATATTAAATATATGTTTGTTTGCAAAGTTATATACGACTCTTGTCTACTTTTTAGCCCGTTCTATACGTCCTTTCTTCTTGGAATGGTTACCAAAGTTTGACTTCTGAGAGGTTAGACGATTGGTTTTTATAAGGAACGGGCTTGAGTTTATTTTTGTTTCGCGCCAAAAAAAGAAGATGGAATTGTGAGAAAAAAGAAGATGCGAATGATAGGTGCGCCATATGAAGTATCAACAATTGACCATTCAGGAAGCGTTGTGGTATATTGATTGGTGTCACAAGAGAAACAATGTATTATTCAATTTCCGATTCAGAAACTTTCACAGCTAATATTCAGATTCTTGAATTTGAAAATAAACATTTAGATTGTTTTCCTAAACGATCGTATCTATCGACGGAAATCATATCATCGAATGTAATTTTTTTTTCAAATTAAAACAGATTGGTAACACGTCACTTCCAAAGAAAAGACAATTACAAACAACAATATTATTATAAAAAAACAAAATGATTGACGTAACTCTTCCAATATTTTTAAACAATTCGTGAAGAACACGATTTCGTAAAGAAAAAAAGAAAATTTTTTCAAACATTACAAAACACAACGGCTTTTGTTTTCCTTTTCAAAATTCAGAACTTGACTTTCTCGAGTTTATAATGAGAGAGTAAATCACTATTCAATTTTTGATTTTTATATATATATATATATATATATATATATATAGAGAGAGAGAGAGAGAGAGAGAGAGATGGATAGATAGATAAATAGACAATATTAGTGATCAATATATATATATATATATATATATATATATATATATATATATATGTGTGTGTGTGTGTGTGTGTGTGTGTGTGTGTGTGTGTGTGTGTGTGTGTGCGAGCGCGCAAATATATAGAAAAATAGGTAACACGTTAGGTAAATAGTCCGGAATTCTTTAGTATTTTTGTTTTTATTTTTAAAAAAAAACAAAAAAAAACAGTGCTCCATGCAGAAGTAGAGCTTAAATTATAATTATTTTTTAAAGAATATGATTCCTTCGCTACATAAGAGTTCTCATGATTCAAAAACGAGAGCCGGAACCCTCAACATAATTATTAAAATTAAATTGAATTAAAGTATCAAGCCCTGTTTCATCCCCAAGCAAAAGTTTAGGAATAACCAATCTTGAAATTTACGTATTTTTATAAACATGTTCATTCGTAAAATTAATTACTATGGAAACGGCTAGAACGAACATTTTGATAAGGGTCTTAAGAGTTAATTTGTATCCACATATCAGTGACCTTCGGAAAGAGGTCAAGCTGACGCAGGGCATTGTTATTCTAAATTTTCGCTTGAGGATGAAACAGGGCTTGATACTTTAATTCATTATATATATATATATATATATATATATATATATATATATATATATATATATATATATGGGGATATGGATATGTATGTATATATACTTGTATGTATATAGGTGATCTGCTTTTTGTTTTTTTTTTTTAAATATATGTAGTTATATGTATATATGGGTGTATATATGTGTATGTGTGGGTATGTGGGTACATGTATATGTGTGGATGTGTATGTATACATTTTTTTATCATTTCTATATATGTATGTGTGAGTGTCGGTGAGTATATATAGATGGGTATATGCATGTCGTTCCATAGATAGTGTATGTATGTATAAATATAAGAAGTTGTGAGTTCATATATATATAATATGGGAGAATATAGATATAATAATGTAATTAAGTGTGGATTTTGATATGTTTTTTGCATGCACGCACATGTGGGTGTATATATGTATATGTATATATTTGTGTGTATGTGTATATGCGTATATATGTTTATATGTATATATATATGTGTATATACGTGTATATGTATGTGTATATATATGTGTGGATATATGTGTATGTATATGTACATGTGTATGTATGTATGTGTGTGTGTATCTACATGTGTATGTGTGTATGTATGAGTATATACATGTATATATACATATATATATATATCTGTGTGTGTGTGTGTGTGTGTGTATGTGTATATGTACATATATGTATATATATGTATATGTATGTATACGTATGTGTGTATGTGTACGGATATGTGTGTGTATATTTATGGATACACAGAATATTATAAAAGAAGGACTTACAGTCCTGTTATTAATGTTTTATCTCATTTTCTCATTTAATATTCTCCAATTGGAAGTGTGAGTTTAAAATTCTTTATAATATAGAGAAAATTTTTTAAATTGATAATTTAATTTAATTTGAAATATATTACCCTTTAATAACCATCATTGATGATAAAATATTTAAATTGGAATTTTTTTTTATATCTAGGTACGTGTTAATACATGAAGTTACCTGTGTATATCGGCACATTGGTACCTGTATGAGTGATTGAACATGTAAAGGAACGTGTGTATATGTGGTATTTGCATGGGTGTGTATACAGTATATGACAGAGCAAGATCTTTAATATTACCTTCATATGTTACCCCATATTAACTTAACTAAAATTTAAGTAAGAGATTGCCTATCTAGAAACAGTCACGAGTTAAATTCATGAACAAAATTCAAACGGATAGAGATGCCAACTTAATAATCAATAATAAATTTTTTTTAAGAGATTAAAAAAAATTAAAAAAATTAAAAATTCGAAAAAAGTTTACTAAAAGTAAACTTATATTTTAAAATAAAATTTTATTCTTTTAATGTACATTCTATGAATATTTTTCTAATCGACTATTTCATAGAAAATCCCCAAAATTATAATAAAATTTAAATCACTAACAAACATCAAATTAAATTATTTGTAGACAGTTTAGAGACACTGAAATTTATATCAAAAATTATAATCTATGAACCCCCAAAATAATACGTTCAAAGTAAAACAAAATAACAGCGTCCGTTTCTAGCCATTTTCTTTCTTTTTTTTTACAAAGAAAATTAGTGACATCTTCTCTCTTAACTTCCTTCCCTCTTTTTTCTCTCTATGGGTTTTTTCTTCTCTACCCCTTCGATATCAATATATAACTTCTGTTAAGTTAACCGTTTAAATGTGTCAATATCTGCTAACTCACTCATGTCTTCTCTCTCTACCCCCCTCACTTCCTCACTTCGTTAATTTACATATGTTTAATACGGCCCGTCAAAAATGTGTAAATTTTCTTTTCATTTTTTGTTTGGAAGTAAAGTCTGATAATCCGCAATCCTTTAAAAGGGCTGTGGTGAAATAATTTATTACATGGAACCTTAAAGTGGTCTGTTCTTATTTAATATATATATATATATATATATACGTGTGTGTGTGTGTGTGTGTGTGTGTGTGTGTGTGTGTGTGTGTGTGTGTGTGTGTGTGTGTGTGTAAATTTACAAGAGGATAGAATCCAGGTAGAACTCAATGTCTAGGACAGAGTAAGAATATAACATAAAAGGCTCAAACACTAATATTCCATGGTTATAATTTATTACATTCGAATCGTAATCACGATCCAATTCATCAGACCCACAATTTCCGATTTCTTTTTGAATTTGTAGATCTGATGAATTGATCGTGATTACGATTCCAATGTAACAAATTGTAACCATGAATATTTGTTTTGATATATATATATATATATATATATATATATATATATATATATATATATATATCAAACACTAATATATATATATATATATATATATATATATATATACAGGTAAAATGAAAACAAATTGAGTATAATTCCACTATATGTGATGATGCACTTGGGGGCAAGATCTCATCAATTTACAATTGAAATGTTCAAATATTACCGTAAGTTCTATGGTAAGAGTTTCTTCTCTAGCACTTATCGTGGAACTCTCTTCTGCCTTTTTGCTTTCCATTCAATGCCCATCTTCTGTCTTCTTAATTCCTGCTCTTTTATTGTTCTTGCTCTTTGATAATTTTTGTCTTAGATTTGTTTTCACACAGAGTAAGCCCTTGCATCTTAGTGACTTTATTACCTTGCTCTCTATTTCTCTCTCTCTCTCTCTCTCTCTCTCTCTCTCTCTCTCTCTCTCTCTCTCTCTCTCTCTCTCTCTGTGTATATATATATATATATATATATGCGTATTTAGGCAGCAAATTCTCTTTTAGGCATGTCTGATTGAATAAAATACAGACATTCGTAAAGAAGAAAATATTGTTGAAGATTATTATTATTTCAACTTCAAAGTAGTTTCTTATCTTAAATTTCTCGGGTGAATAGTGGTTTGGTTTGGTTTGTTTTACGGTATATCAACCTCAATGGGTTATTTAAAGCCGACACAATTTTTGTTGCTGGTAATATTTTTTTCTTCAAAAATTTATTGCTGGTAACTTTTTTACAAAACGTATTTCTGCTTTAAAACCTATCTTTACACTTTCATAGTGTTTTGGACTCAGTTTCGGGTTTAACTATATGCCCATAGCTGGGACCCTAACAGGTGCTACCACCCCGGGTCAGGGTGGACGTGGGAACACCAGCAATTAAGAGGAGGTTCCACGCTCTTCAAAACCACCTGATCAGAGGCCTTGCTGGTGGACGTAGTTTATCGTCTTACCCAGGACGCGGATGTAGTTTATCGTCATACCCAGGACGGTCGAGTGAATAGTGAGAACGGAATTCACTATTCAATTTTCGATAAGAACCAAACAGTTACATTGTTGCTTATCAAAAATTTCAATTTAAAAATATAATTTAAAAGTTGATATTTTTTCTTTAGCTCCTCGAGAGTCCTGGGTAAGACGATAAACTGCATCTGTGTCCAGGG